TTACACTACTACAACTACACACCACTACTACTACACTACTACTACTACTACACTACTACTACTACACTACTACTACACTACTACTACTACAACTACACACCACTACTACACTACTACTATTACACTACTACTACTACACACTACTACTAGTACACACCACTACTACTACACTACAACTACACACCACTACTACAACTACACACTACTACTACTACACACACTTCTACAACTATCCACAACTACTACTACAACTACACACTACTACTACTACACACTACTACTAGTACACACCACTACTACCACTACTACTACTACACACACACTTCTACTACTACACTACTACTACTACTACACACCACTACTACAACTACACACTACTACTACTACACACTACTACTACTACTACACTACTACAACTATCCACAACTACTACTACAACTACACACTACTACAACTGCACACTACAACTACTACACACACTACTACTACACTACTACTACACAAAACTACTACACGCCACTACTACACACTACTACACACTACCACTACTACAACTATACACTACTACTACACACTACTACATACACACTACTACTACACACTACTACACACTACCACTACTACAACTACACACTACAACTACACACCACTACTACAACTACACACAACTACTACACACCACTACTACAACTACACACAACTACTACTACACACTACTACACACTACCACTACACACTACTACTACTACACACACTACTACAACTATACACTACTACAACTACACACAACTACTACTACTACACACACTACTACACCCCACTAGTACAACTACACACTACTACACAATATTCCTCATTTGAGGCCAAGTCGGCCTAGGGGGAGGACCAGTATCAGCTGCTGTAGCAACAGTAGTATCAGCTGCTATAGCAACAGTAGTATGAGCTGCTGTATCAACAGTAGTATCAGCTGTTGTAGCAACAGTAGTATCAGCTGATGTAGCAACAGTAGTATCAGCTGTTGTATCAACAGTAGTATCAGCTGTTGTAGCAACAGTAGTATCAGCTGATGTAGCAACAGTAGTATCAGCTGTTGTATCAACAGTAGTATCAGCTGCTATAGCAACAGTAGTATCAGCTGCTGTAACAACAGTAGTATCAGCAGATGTAGCAACAGTAGTATCAGCTGCTATAGCAACAGTAGTATCAGCTGCTGTAACAACAGTAGTATCAGCAGATGTAGCAACAGTAGTATCAGCTGATGTAGCAACAGTCGTATCAGCTGATGTAGCAACAATAGTATCAGCTGATGTCTGCAGGTGGATTTCCGATAAACGACGTCACGGACACGGGAGGGGAGGGGGGGATTCGTGACGTGGTGCCAGAGGTGGTACCCTGGGTACTGAATCAGTTCTTGGGTAGAGGGGAGAGAAGCAGCGGAGATGGTGAAGGAGAGAGGTGAGGGTCTGAGAGAGAGGAAAGTGTGTGAGAGAGAGGGAAGTGAGAGAGGAGAGTGCGAGAGAGATTAGAGAGAGCAGAGATTGTGAACAGAATGGCGAGGGAGATCTAGGGAGGTGAGTGAGTGGAAGAGAGAGAGAGGGGAGAGAGAGGTGAGGGTCTGAGAGAGAGGCAAGTGTGAGAGAGAGAGAGAGGAGAGATTAGAGAGAGCAGAGATGATCGTGAACAGAAAGGAGAGGGGAGATCGAGGTAGGTGAGTGCGTGAGTGGGAGAGAACGAGAGAGAGCGAGAGGGTGAGCGAGAGGTGGGGGTTTATATAAAGCAAAGTTAAAAAATGTAAAAAAAAAACATTTTTTTAACGAAATGATGAACGAAGCAAAGTGCCGACTACACCGAACATCTTCTTGTTTCCACTGATCGTAAGAAAAAAAAGAGGGGAGAAAGAGAGAGGTGAGGGTCTGAGAGAGAGGAAAGTGTGTGAGAGAGAGAGAAGTGAGAGAGATTAGAGAGAGCAGAGGTCGTGAACAGAAAGGCGAGGGAGATCTAGGGAGGTGAGTGTGTGAGTGGGAGAGAGATGAGGGTCTGAGAGAGAGAGAGAGCAGAGGCAGAGATCGTCAAGCGAGTGAAGAGAGAGAGGGAGGGGCACACAAAGCAAAGCATTGAAAAATTAACCCGTAAAAACAAAGTTTTTCACTATAAATCCTTTATATGCGTGGCGGCTAGAGTCATCTCGTCCCCTGGCTTGAGATGGCTGCCACCTATGGGTCAGATGATTGCATGGCACCATTAAGCAATTGGTAATTAAATATAATATATTTGTCCTAAAAAGTGTATAATTTTGGAATTTTTTTCACGAACATTAATTGTCACGCACAACGAGTCTGTGTGGAAAATGTCAGCTCGATTGGATCACGGGAAGTGGGTTAAAAAACGACCGAAAGATTTGCATGGTCCTAAGCGCGCAAGCAAGCAAGTGAACTTAATATAAAGGATAAAAAAAAACCGAAATTATGAACGAAGTAAAGTGCCGATTACAACGAGCATTTTCTTGTTTCCTCTGATTGTAAAAAACAAAGAGGGGTGAGGGCGTGAGAGAGAGAGAGAGATCGTGAGAGGCGAGAGAAGTGAGTCTAAGAGCGAGAGAGAGAAAGCGGAAGAGGTGAGAGTCTGAGAGAGAGGTCGCAAACGGGTACCCGATACCCGTACCCTACCCGATACCCGTACCCTACCCGATACCTGGCTACCCGTACCCGGCCGGGTACGGGGGTACGGGTAGCCGTGAGTCACTGGTGAGTCACCGTTTGTCACTCATTTCCCAACGTCTTGTCTCTTCTCACAATTCAAGTTCCTAGAATCAACCCACCCGCGCCTGCAACATGGCTTCATCCCAGAGGTCGCAATCGGGTACCCGATACGCGTACCCGGCCGGGTACGGGTAGGGTACGGGGAAGGGTACCCGTTTGCGACCCTGGTGCGGCCGGGTACGGGTAGGGTACGGGTAGGGTACGGGTAGGGTACGGGTACGGCCGGGTACGGGTACGGCTACCCGTTTGCGACCCTGGTGCGGCCGGGTACGGGTACGAGGGGTAAGGAGTCAGAACCCGTTTGCGACCTCTGCTGGTCTGAGAGAGAGACGCAGATAGAGAGGCGTTCACACAGCTACTGGGCAAACTTGATTTCTTCCACAATTCCATCACATTTTTTCGTGGGAATTCCCTTCACCAAGAGTGAGTGTTTTGCTTTACGGGCATCTTGGCCACTTGTTTGTTTTCCACAGCAGACGGGTTTTTTTGGGGGTTAAATGTTGTTGTGTCGTTAAACCCGCCACCACCCGACACGGCCAATTGGTAAGGTTTGTGTCACGTAGACGAAACGTGTGGCCAACGTGTTACTAGTACAACACCGAGCGGTTGTGTTTGAGAGTAGTGTGTAGTGCGTAGTGTAGTGTATAGTGTAGTGTATAGTGTAGTGTGTAGTGTAGTGTGTAGTGTAGTGTATGGTGTAGTGTATAGTGTAGTGTGTAGTGTAGTGTATAGTGTAGTGTATAGTGTAGTGTATAGTGGAGTGTATGGTGTAGTGTATAGTGTAGTGTATAGTGTAGTGTATAGTGTAGTATACTAGTACAGCACTAATCGGTTGTGTGTTGGAGAGTAAACCTACTAAGACATTGACAATTATAGTGTAGTGTGTGTAGTGTAATATGTAGTGTATAGTGTAGTGTATAGTGTAGTGTATAGTAGTGTAGTGTATAGTGGAGTGTATAGTGTAGTGTATAGTGTAGTGTATAGTGTAGTGTGTAGTGTAGTGTGTAGTGTATAGTAGTGTATAGTGTAGTGTATAGTAGTAGAGTGTGTAGTGTAGTGTATAGTGTAGTGTGTAGTGTAGTGTATAGTGTGGTGTATAGTAGTGTAGTGTATAGTAGTGTAGTGTATAGTGGAGTGTAAAGAACAAAAACAACAGACCTGAGGCGGTCCGCGTGGAAACACTCAGGAAGTGTCAAGGCCTCTTGATTGATGCAGAGAAGCCTCAGGGAGGATTGGTCCCCCAGGTAGCCTCTAGCAGGGCTGTAGGGGCAAGTGCTGTTAGTAGCGAGTAGAGGAAACACAGAGACAAAGATCCCCCAGGTAGCCTCTAGCAGGGCTGCAGGGGCAAGTGCTGTTACTAGCGAGTAGAGGAAACACAGAGACAAAGATCCCCCAGGTAGCCTCTAGCAGGGCTGTAGGGGCAAGTGCTGTTAGTAGCGAGTAGAGGAAACACAGAGACAAAGATCCCCCAGGTAGCCTCTAGCAGGGCTGCAGGGGCAAGTGCTGTTACTAGCGAGTAGAGGAAACACAGAGACAAAGATCCCCCAGGTAGCCTCTAGCAGGGCTGTAGGGGCAAGTGCTGTTACTAGCGAGTAGGGGAAACACAGAGACAAAGATCCCCCAGGTAGCCTCTAGCAGGGCTGTAGGGGCAAGTGCTGTTAGTAGCGAGTAGAGGAAACACAGAGACAAAGATCCCCCAGGTAGCCTCTAGCAGGGCTGCAGGGGCAAGTGCTGTTACTAGCGAGTAGAGGAAACACAGAGACAAAGATCCCCCAGGTAGCCTCTAGCAGGGCTGTAGGGGCAAGTGCTGTTACTAGCGAGTAGGGGAAACACAGAGACAAAGATCCCCCAGGTAGCCTCTAGCAGAGCTGTAGGGGCAAGTGATGTTACTAGCGAGTACAGGAAACACAGAGGCAAAGATCCCCAGGTAGCCTCTAGCAGGGCTGTAGGGGCAAGTGCTGTTACTAGCGAGTAGGGGAAACACAGAGACAAAGATTCCCCAGGTAGCCTCTAGCAGGGCTGTAGGGGCAAGTGCTGTTACTAGCGAGTAGGGGAAACACAGAGACAAAGATTCCCCAGGTAGCCTCTAGCAGGGCTGTAGGGGCAAGTGCTGTTACTAGAGAGTAGAGGAAACAGGTCAATGTCCATGAAACCCCGTCACGGACACGGGAGGGGGAGGGGGAGCGGGGGAATTCGTGACGTGGCTTTAGTTATCAGAGACAAAGATCCCCCCCCCCCTCCCCATTGTAATATCGTTGTGCCAGGCTAGGTGCACTTTACGGCCACGTGAAGTGTCCATCTGTGGAAAAAAAACCCGATTTTTCCAGCGGCAGGCATCGGGTTTTTTTCTTTAATACAATTAAACCCGATTTCGGGGAGTTAAAACCTGGTTTAGTGAATACGAAACTCCGATAGGCTTAGGCTGCTTCCTCGTCGGTGCTGCTATCGTACTCGGGGGGGCCGTCGGGCACGGGGTAGTCGTAGAATGCGGCGGGCAGGTTGGTCTTGATGAACACAAACTTCTCCTCCACAATCGTGGGCGCCAGTGAGTTCCTTGGCTTGGAATGGATGAAGCCCATCGGTGAGAAGTTGGCGAAGTGCGGTTCTGCAATTAGAACCAATTAAACCGGATTTCTCCCAATCTCAATATAACAGAGAATTAAACCCGATTGTAAAAAACGCGACTGTGCCACCCTTGGAAGTGTCAAACGTCCGCTGACAGGAGGATATGGGACACACCAAGGTGCCACGGGTCGACTGACCGAGATGACGCACGCACAGGTATGCGCACACACACACACACGGATACACACAAACACATACAAGTATACGCACGCAGACATACACACGTGTACACATAGACACACGTGTACACACACACATGGACACGTGTGTACACACACACACACACGGACACACGTGTGGACACACACACGGACACACGAGTGCACACACAAACACACACGTGAACACACGTACACACACACACGGACACACGTGTACACACACACACGTGGACACTCATCTATACACACACGTGGACACACGTGTGTATACACATATGGACACACGTGTTAGAGAGTAAACCTACTAAGACATTGACAATTATAGTGTATAGTGTAGTGTATAGTGTAGTGTATAGTGTAGTGTAAGTGGAGTGTATGGTGTAGTGTATAGTGGAGTGTATGGTGGAGTGTGTAGTGTATAGTGTAGTGTATGGTGGAGTGTATAGTGTAGTGTATAGTGTAGTGTATAGTGGAGTGTGTAGTGTAGTGTATAGTGTAGTGTATAGTGTAGTGTATAGTGTAGTGTATAGTGTAGTGTATAGTGTAGTGTATAGTGTAGTGTATAGTGGAGTGTATAGTGTAGTGTATAGTGTAGTGTATAGTGGAGTGTATAGTGGAGTGTGTAGTGTAGTGTATAGTGTAGTGTATGGTGTAGTGTATGGTGTAGTGTATAGTGGAGTGTATAGTGGAGTGTATGGTGGAGTGTGTAGTGTATAGTGTAGTGTATAGTGTAGTGTATAGTGTAGTGTATGGTGTAGTGTATGGTGTAGTGTAAGTGGAGTGTATAGTGTAGTGTATAGTGTAGTGTATAGTGGAGTGTATGGTGTAGTGTAAGTGGAGTGTATAGTGTAGTGTATAGTGTAGTGTATAGTGTAGTGTATAGTGGAGTGTATAGTGTAGTGTATAGTGGAGTGTATGGTGTAGTGTAAGTGGAGTGTATAGTGTAGTGTATAGTGTAGTGTATAGTGTAGTGTATAGTGTAGTGTAAGTGGAGTGTATAGTGTAGTGTATAGTGTAGTGTATAGTGTAGTGTATAGTGTAGTGTAAGTGGAGTGTATAGTGTAGTGTATAGTGTAGTGTATAGTGTAGTGTATAGTGTAGTGTATAGTGGAGTGTATGGTGTAGTGTAAGTGGAGTGTATAGTGTAGTGTATAGTGTAGTGTATAGTGTAGTGTATAGTGTAGTGTAAGTGGAGTGTATAGTGTAGTGTATAGTGTAGTGTATAGTGTAGTGTATAGTGTAGTGTATAGTGGAGTGTATGGTGGAGTGTATAGTGTAGTGTATAGTGTAGTGTATAGTGTAGTGTATGGTGTAGTGTAAGTGGAGTGTATAGTGTAGTGTATAGTGTAGTGTATAGTGGAGTGTATGGTGTAGTGTAAGTGGAGTGTATAGTGTAGTGTATAGTGTAGTGTATAGTGTAGTGTATAGTGGAGTGTATAGTGGAGTGTATAGTGTAGTGTATAGTGGAGTGTATGGTGTAGTGTAAGTGGAGTGTATAGTGTAGTGTATAGTGTAGTGTATAGTGTAGTGTATAGTGTAGTGTATAGTGGAGTGTATAGTGTAGTGTATAGTGGAGTGTATAGTGTAGTGTATAGTGTAGTGTGTAGTGTAGTGTATAGTGTAGTGTAAGTGGAGTGTATAGTGTAGTGTAAGTGGAGTGTATGGTGGAGTGTATGGTGTAGTGTATAGTGGAGTGTATGGTGGAGTGTATAGTGTAGTGTATAGTGTAGTGTGTAGTGTAGTGTATAGTGTAGTGTATAGTGGAGTGTATAGTGTAGTGTATAGTGTAGTGTATAGTGTAGTGTAAGTGGAGTGTATAGTGTAGTGTAAGTGGAGTGTATAGTGTAGTGTATAGTGTAGTGTATAGTGTAGTGTATAGTGGAGTGTATAGTGTAGTGTATAGTGTAGTGTATAGTGGAGTGTATAGTGTAGTGTATAGTGGAGTGTATAGTGTAGTGTATAGTGTAGTGTATAGTGTAGTGTATAGTGGAGTGTATGGTGTAGTGTATAGTGTAGTGTATAGTGTAGTGTATAGTGGAGTGTATAGTGGAGTGTATAGTGTAGTGTGTAGTGGAGTGTATAGTGGAGTGTATAGTGGAGTGTATAGTGGAGTGTATAGTGGAGTGTGTAGTGGAGTGTGTAGTGGAGTGTATAGTGGAGTGTATAGTGTAGTGTGTAGTGTAGTGTATAGTGTAGTGTATAGTGTAGTGTATAGTGAAGTGTATAGTGTAGTGTATAGTGGAGTGTATAGTGGAGTGTATAGTGGAGTGTATAGTGGAGTGTATAGTGTAGTGTGTAGTGGAGTGTATAGTGTAGTGTATAGTGTAGTGTATGGTGTAGTGTATAGTGGAGTGTGTAGTGTAGTGTAAGTGTAGTGTATAGTGTAGTGTATAGTGTAGTGTATAGTGGAGTGTATAGTGTAGTGTATGGTGTAGTGTATGGTGGAGTGTATAGTGGAGTGTATAGTGTAGTGTATAGTGTAGTGTATAGTGTAGTGTATAGTGGAGTGTATAGTGGAGTGTGTAGTGGAGTGTATAGTGGAGTGTATGGTGGAGTGTATAGTGTAGTGTATAGTGTAGTGTATGGTGGAGTGTATAGTGGAGTGTATAGTGGAGTGTATAGTGTAGTGTATAGTGTAGTGTATAGTGGAGTGTATAGTGGAGTGTATAGTGGAGTGTGTAGTGGAGTGTGTAGTGGAGTGTATAGTGGAGTGTATAGTGTAGTGTGTAGTGTAGTGTATAGTGTAGTGTATAGTGTAGTGTGTAGTGGAGTGTGTAGTGGAGTGTGTAGTGGAGTGTATAGTGTAGTGTGTAGTGTAGTGTATAGTGTAGTGTATAGTGTAGTGTATAGTGAAGTGTATAGTGTAGTGTATAGTGTAGTGTATAGTGGAGTGTATAGTGGAGTGTATAGTGGAGTGTTTAGTGTAGTGTGTAGTGGAGTGTATAGTGGAGTGTATAGTGGAGTGTATAGTGGAGTGTATAGTGTAGTGTATAGTGGAGTGTATAGTGTAGTGTATAGTGTAGTGTATAGTGTAGTGTATGGTGTAGTGTATAGTGGAGTGTGTAGTGTAGTGTAAGTGTAGTGTATAGTGTAGTGTATAGTGTAGTGTATAGTGGAGTGTATAGTGTAGTGTATGGTGTAGTGTATGGTGGAGTGTATAGTGGAGTGTATAGTGTAGTGTATAGTGTAGTGTATAGTGTAGTGTGTAGTGGAGTGTGTAGTGGAGTGTATAGTGGAGTGTATAGTGGAGTGTATAGTGTAGTGTATAGTGTAGTGTATAGTGGAGTGTATGGTGTAGTGTATAGTGGAGTGTATAGTGGAGTGTATAGTGGAGTGTATAGTGTAGTGTATAGTGGAGTGTATGGTGGAGTGTATGGTGTAGTGTATAGTGTAGTGTATGGTGGAGTGTATGGTGGAGTGTATAGTGTAGTGTATAGTGTAGTGTATAGTGTAGTGTATAGTGGAGTGTATGGTGGAGTGTATAGTGTAGTGTATAGTGGAGTGTATAGTGTAGTGTATAGTGTAGTGTATAGTGTAGTGTATAGTGGAGTGTATGGTGTAGTGTATAGTGTAGTGTAGAGTGGAGTGTATAGTGTAGTGTGTAGTGAAGTGTATAGTGAAGTGTGTAGTGTAGTGTAGAGTGGAGTGTATAGTGTAGTGTATAGTGTAGTGTATAGTGTAGTGTATAGTGTAGTGTATAGTGTAGTGTGTAGTGAAGTGTATAGTGAAGTGTATAGTGGAGTGTACAGTGTAGTGTGTAGTGAAGTGTATAGTGTAGTGTATAGTGTAGTGTATAGTGTAGTGTATAGTGTAGTGTATAGTGTAGTGTATAGTGGAGTGTGTAGTGGAGTGTATAGTGGAGTGTGTAGTGTAGTGTATAGTGTAGTGTATAGTGTAGTGTATAGTGGAGTGTGTAGTGGAGTGTATAGTGAAGTGTGTAGTGGAGTGTATAGTGTAGTGTGTAGTGAAGTGTATAGTGAAGTGTATAGTGGAGTGTATAGTGTAGTGTATAGTGTAGTGTGTAGTGTAGTGTGTAGTGTAGTGTAGAGTGGAGTGTATAGTGTAGTGTGTAGTGAAGTGTATAGTGAAGTGTATAGTGGAGTGTACAGTGTAGTGTGTAGTGAAGTGTATAGTGTAGTGTATAGTGTAGTGTATAGTGTAGTGTATAGTGGAGTGTACAGTGTAGTGTGTAGTGAAGTGTATAATGTAGTGTATAGTGGAGTGTATAGTGTAGTGTATAGTGGAGTGTATGGTGGAGTGTATGGTGTAGTGTATAGTGTAGTGTATAGTGTAGTGTATAGTGTAGTGTGTAGTGGAGTGTATAGTGGAGTGTATAGTGGAGTGTACAGTGTAGTGTGTAGTGAAGTGTATAGTGTAGTGTATAGTGTAGTGTATAGTGGAGTGTATGGTGGAGTGTATGGTGTAGTGTATAGTGTAGTGTATAGTGTAGTGTATAGTGTAGTGTGTAGTGGAGTGTATAGTGGAGTGTATAGTGGAGTGTATAGTGTAGTGTATAGTGTAGTGTATAGTGTAGTGTGTAGTGTAGTGTATAGTGAAGTGTATAGTGAAGTGTACAGTGGAGTGTATAGTGGAGTGTATAGTGTAGTGTATAGTGGAGTGTATAGTGTAGTGTATAGTGTAGTGTATGGTGGAGTTTATAGTGGAGTGTATGGTGTAGTGTATAGTGTAGTGTATAGTGGAGTGTATGGTGTAGTGTATAGTGTAGTGTATAGTGGAGTGTATGGTGTAGTGTATAGTAGTGTATAGTGGAGTGTATAGTGTAGTGTGTAGTGTAGTGTATAGTGGAGTGTATAGTGGAGTGTATAGTGGAGTGTATAGTGGAATGTATAGTAGTGTATGGTGTAGTGTATAGTGTAGTGTATAGTGGAGTGTATGGTGTAGTGTATAGTGTAGTGTATAGTGGAGTGTATGGTGTAGTGTATCATTTAGTGTATAGTGGAGTGTATGGTGGAGTGTATGGTGTAGTGTAAAGACCAAAAAAAACAAAGGTGGCGGGGAGTGGTGTTGGCCACCCACCATCTCTGTGCCATAGGCACTGCTACTACTCGCTACTAACATCACTTGCCCCTACAGTCTGTTACAGGCTATACGGGGGGATCTTTGTCTTTGTGTGTGTGGTCAGGTGAGTAGTGAATGAGAAGGTTGTGGTGTGTGTCTGTGTTTTTATGTGTAGGTGTGAGTGTCTGTGTGTTTGTGTGTAGGTGTGTGTGTGTCTGCCTGAATGTGTGCCTGTGTGGGGAGTGGTAGTGTAGTGGTTAGCGCGCTGCTCTATGAATCCAGCGGCCCGAGTTCGATTCCCGTTCATGGCCAACACCAGTGGCGATTTTCTGAACCGACTAGGCCTCCAATGAGTACCTGGTGTGGAGTGTAAACATCGCCACTTACACCCTCGTGAGTGGTGTGGTGCTGACCACCCACCCCCTCGTGTGTTGTTCCGGCCTTTCATAGGTGCTCGTGAACAGCACTTGCTCCTATACGGGGGGCCTTTGTCTTTGTGAGTGTGTGAGTGCACATGGCCTGGCACAAGCGTCGTGGTGACGTCACCGCCACTCAATGGCGAATGGCGGTTGTTGTTGTTGTAGTGAGTGTGAGTGGGTGTAGGTGAGTGGTGAGTGTGTGTCTGTGTGTCTGTGTGTGCGAGTGGTGAATGAGTCAGTGAGCACTTGCCCCTACTGTCTGTTAAGAGGCTGTACGTGGGAATATTTGTCTTTGTGTGGTACTATGCAGGTTGCAGCTGCTGTCATTCCCATTGGCTCCCCACAACTACTGCGTGAACTATGACGTCACAATGGATGGCCACTCTCGTCATGGCCGCCATCTTAGGCATCTCACTCGGACCCGTGGTGGCTAAAAGTGAGTACAGTACGTGTGTGTGTACACGTGTGTGTGTACACGTGTGTGTGTACACGTGTGTGTGTACACGTGTGTGTGTACACGTGTGTGTGTACACGTGTGTGTGTACACGTGTGTGTGTACACGTGTGTGTGTACACGTGTGTGTGTACACGTGTGTGTGTACACGTGTGTGTGTACACGTGTGTGTGTACACGTGTGTGTGTACACGTTTGTATGTGTCGTGAGCGGTGGTGCAGCGTTTAGCGCACTGTGCTACGAACCTGTCTTACTCGAATTGCAAATGTTGTTGTCGTGTTGGTTTAACTCTCTAACACGCACACGACCGGTTAGTGCTAAAGTGTTTGCTAATTGCCTACGTTTTGTTACATCCAGGAGTTGTAAAGGTGTTCAAACTTGTACATGTATAGTAGTGTGGTGTTTAGTATAGCATATACCATTGTAGTGTATTGCAGTGTATAGTTTAGTGTATGTTGAACATCTTTCACACCACCGTACGTAGGCAGCCACACTAATCGGAGGTGCGGGGGGAAGGCAAACAAATGAAACACAACAACAAGCAGTTCTAAAGACATGCGTTCTCAGTGTAGTATAGTGGTGTAGTGCAGTATATTGTAGTGTAGTGTGTAGTGTAGTGTACTAATGTAGTGTCTAGTATAGTGTACTGTATAGTAGTGTGTATTAGTGTAGTGTATAGTAGTGTGTAGTAATGTATATAAGTGTATAGTAGTCTGTAGTATTGTGTAGTAGTATGTATTGTAGTGTATAGTGTGATAGTGTGGGTGAGCGCTGTTGTGCCAGGGTTTGCGAAGTGGTTGAGGTTAAATTTCGATTTAAAGCTTTCGTGACTGCAGGGATTCATCTTCTTGATTCTTTCGGTAAAGTCATCACGTAGAAGGGAAATAATAAATCAATGAAAATAAAACATAATAAAATCATTCTCACGACGTTTCGGCCACAACGCAAGCAGCCGTCCTCAGGTGAAGAACAGGTCTGTCGGGAAGACGTGATTTTACCGAAAGAATCAAGAAGATGGTTGAGGTTACGTGAGGTAAGGAGGTTAGGGGGGAGACTCTACCAACATCTCACCACCACCTTCTGGAAGCAACAACGGCGCCACTCACTCTGGGCTTGACTTGGGGTGGGATGTAAATTGGCCAGTCAGGACAGGCCACGTGACGTGGGGTGAAGGTGGCAGTCGATGGCGCTATAGGTGTTGCCAACAAAAATTCAGGTGTAATACAGTATAGTGTAGGAGTGTATAGTAGTGTAGTGTATATCTTCTTGGTTCATTCGGTAAAGTCACGTAGAAGGGAAATAATAAAATAATAAAAATTAAACATAATAAAATACAATGCTCACGACGTTTTGGCCACAACGCAAGCAGCCATCCTCAGGTGAAGAACAGATCTGTCGGAAAGACAGCGTCTGAATGACACACCCCAGGCTTGGCAGCGTATATTTAAGCTGCTGGTTTGGAGGGGGAAGGGCGCCTTGAAAAAGGCATTTGCATATCAAGAGGAATTTAGCATATTTATGGGAAATACAGATATGGGATTATTCACTACTTGTGGAATGCGTAGGAGGTTGGGGGGGGGGGGTTCAAAGTCATATTATGCTCGTGCATTATGTAGGATTAGCAGCATCAAAGGGAGGGAGTAGGGTTAGCAGTAATAAAGAGAAGGAATTTTAATAGTAAGGAGCTGCAGCAGCTAAACCACCACGTAAAAAACTAAAATATAAACTACATCAGTATCATCAATATACTAAATATCCTCTACAATAAGCTGAGCTACTAACAGTAAGTCATACATTACAATTCTACGTCGCAAACAATATAATATGCCTCCAGCTAAACTTGGGTGAGTGGTTAAGTGAGTGGTTGGGTGAGTGGGTGGGTGGTTGGGTGGATGGGTAGTGTATAGTGAAGTGTATAGTAGTGTGCCCCCCAAAAACCAACCCCTCATCCACCTCGTGGGAGGTGGTAACAGACGAGGTGAAGTATGGTTGAGTGAAATTTCGATTTAAAGCTTTCGTGACTGCAGGGATTCATCTTCTTGGTTCTTTCGGTAACGTCACGTAGAAGGGAAGTAATAAAATAAAAATAAAACATAATAAAATAAAATAATTCTCACGACGTTTCACCTGAAGACGGCTGCTTGCGTTGTAGCCGAAACGTCGTGAGAATTATTTTATTTTATTATGTTTTATTTTTATTATTTTATTACTTCCCTTCTACGTGACTTTACCGAAAGAACCAAGAGTATGGTTGAGTGGTTCGATCACCCTGGCCACTTCGGTAATCATGAAGGCCTCTCTGGGCTCACCTGGAAACGTGCTGACCAACGTTGCTCCAGTAAGCCACTTAGGCTAAGGGAGTAAACCTGGATACCAAGTGGCCAACCGCCCACCCTGGTGGGGCAGATGAGCTGCGGTCCAGATGGCCAATGGCACATGGCGGAGGAACCACTGGATGTCCGGTGCTTCAGGACAAACCTTCCAATCGCCTCCGTTTCTTGCCTTGCCATTGGACCCAGGCTTGGCTCCTGGCTCAGCTCTGTGCGGTAGCCCGGTGTGCAACAGACACTGCACGTAAATTCCTTCACGCACTGGCACCCTCCAGGAACAGTGCCATCTAACCCGCACACTACATACACAAAGTCCTTGGGCGATTGGCAAGCGGCAAGTGGAGCGCACGCCTTTGCAGCTAGAAGCTGCAAGTCACAACCCAGCACCAAGTCACAAGGAGTCAGCTATTAGAAAGTCGTCATGCACTCGGTTTCGGCAGGAGTGCATCCCGGCAGCTGTAGCTGTGACTGAGCATTCCGCAAGGAAACATTCTGGTCACCCCAAACCGGGGAGAGGGCTAGCTAAGGTGCCCTAAACGTAGTCTGCCGAGCAACATCCTGTCTGGCTGACCGCGACCAGAGGGAGCATCAATACTTACGGTCGAAACAAGAAGAAGTATAACCTAAACATTGGATCCTGGAATGTCAGGACCCTCACCAACAACCCAAATTCGCACTATCCAGAGCGCAGAACGGCAAATGTGGCATGCGATCGGGGACGATTTAAAATCCATATTGCCGCCCTCAGCAAAAGCTGTCTGGCTGATGAAAGGAAATCTGACAAAGGTAAGTGGAGGCTTCACCTTCTTTTGGAAGGGTAAACCTGCAGATGAACCACACCTGCATGCCATAGGTTTTGCAATCGACAACAAGCTCATCAACAACCTAAGTGACTCCCAATTGATATCAATGAGCGTTTTATGACCCTATGCCTGACCAACACTTAACCATCATCGGCACCTACGCACCAGGACTGGACTCGGAGGGAGACACCAAGGAGATCTACTACAGCCAACTCAACCAAATTACTCAGACTACACTGAAAACTGATGAGCTGATTCTTCTCGGCATTTTGGGAGAGACTACCAAATGTGGAATGGCGTAATCGGGAAATAGGGACTTGGAAAGTCCAACTCTAATGGTTATCTTCTAGTAACAACCTGCTCTCAACACGACTTGAAAATCACCAACACTCTCTTCAGGCAGATGAATAGGTTTAAGACCCCCATGGTGCCACCCTCGATCACACCAATGGCATTTACTGGACTACGTGATTTCCAGGAAGCTTAATAGCAAAGATGTCCGCATTACTCATGCCATGATCAAGGCAGACATTTGCTGGTTTGATTACAGACTAATTCAATTAGTGATAACTATCGAACTAGCCCACAAATACATCAACCGAACAAAGCTACGGAGGAAAATATTCATTATAATCAGACTTTAAGACCCAGCAGTACAGGCTTACTGAAATAATTGTCTCAAAGACTCAGAGCCAACGAGGCTTCAGGAAATGTTGAGGAGTATTGGACAAAACTGAAGACAACAGTACGAGCCAGCTGTGGTTTGATGACAACGACAATGAAATCCCGGCATCTTGACAAGAAGTGGAAAGCATTCATCGCCTGGCAACAACACAAACACTCTAGACAGAATAAAGCAAGCATACAAGGAGGCCAAATCTGAAGCAAAGACCGAAATCTGGGAACTGAACGACAACTGGTTCAGAAACAAATCTATAAAAATACAAAATCTTGCAGATGCCAAGAACTCATATTCATTTTTTAAGGCAAACAAAGTCTTCTATGGACCATCAAGATAGAGCCTCGCACCACCCCAGTCCAAGGATGGGACAGAAATCTTCAAAGGCAAATATTTAATTAACTTCCGCTGGCAAGAACACTTCAGCAGTCTATTCAACCGCAACGCTGTTTGAAGTGGCCAAAGCTGCCAAGCAGATGAAATAGAACAAAGCCAGTGCACCAGACCTGTTGAGATTTACAAACATGGAAGACAATGCCTACTAAAACACGTGCACTCTCATTGATGGCCAGGATCTGGAATGATGAAGACCTTTCCAACAAACTGAAAGATGCCATCATTGTCACCATCTTCAAGAAAGATGACAAGTCAGACTGGTAGGCACAGAGGAATGTCTCTTCTTGTCACCGCTGGCAAAATACTTGCAAGAATTCTACTAAACAGACTTCTACCCTTTGCTGAAAAACTCCGTTCTGAATCCCAGCGGCTTCCAATCCAGCAGGTGAACTTCAGGCATGATCTTCTCAGCCCGTCACATCCAAGAGAAGTGCCAGGCACAGAGACTACTACTGAACATGGCCTTCTTCAAACTGACTAACGCTTTCGACTCTGTTAATCGTGAAACACTATGGAGAATCCTTCTAATATATGGCTGCTCAACAAAATGTGTCTTCTGCTTGACGGTATGAAGGCTGTCTTCCTCTCGGATGGTGAAACCACAGAGCCAATCGAGGTAAGGACTGGTGGGAGGCAAAGCTGTGTTATTGCACCGACTCTTTTCTCCATCTTCCTTGCCAGAATGCTTCACTTGACAGGGAGCCGACCCACCAGAGGCATACATATCTACGTATAACACAGGACCGACCTGCATGGAGAAGAAAAGTACAGGACG